AGGCTGCCCTCGCGCTTCCTCCCGGACTCCCGCCGCTGAAACAACTGTGCCTGATAAACTGTGCCTGAAATCCCCAGTCCCATTCGCTGTACCACTTGCAGTATAACTCTGATTTAGAAACAGAGAAAGTAGGCCATTCAGCCTATCAAGTCTGCTCTGCTGTTCAACATGATCATGGCTGATCCCTCATCTCATTATTGTACTTCTGCTGTCTCAACATAGCCTTCACCCCATTTAGTGTCTAGAAATGTATCTATTCCTTTTTTAAGCATATTCAGTGACCCAACCCCCACAGCCATCTGTGGTAGAGAATTGCACAGGTTTACCACCCTCTGAATGAAGAAATTTATCCTCATCTCAGTCTGAAATGGCCTACCCTATATTCCCAGACAGTGACCCCTTGTTGTGGACCCTCTGGCTGATATACACTTCATTCTCCCTTTCTCCAACTCCACTTATTAATGTGCCATTTTCTGTTTTAGTGTTTAACTGCCCCTCCCTGCATTTTGTGCACCCTGGAATTCCTTTCAAAATCTTCTGCCCTTGTTGCTATGCCATTCTGTGTTAGTTTAAACCCTCCCCAGCAGCCCGAGCAAAATGCTGTAAAGAGACTTGCTCCTGGCTCTGGTTTGAGTGGTTTGATTTGAAGGTTTTGATTAATTCATAGAATTCCTGCTGTGTGGAATCAGGCCATTCAGCCCCATTGAGTCCACACCAACCCTCCGAAGACCATCCCATCCAGAATCACCCATCCCTACCCTATCCCTGTAACCCTGCATTTCCCATGGCTCCTCCACCTAGCCTGCACATAATGGGCAATTTAGCATGGCTAATCATCTAACCTGCTCATCTGTGGACTTGGGAGGAAACTGGAGCACCTAGAGGAAATCCACACAGACACAGAGAGAATGTGCAAACTCCACACAGACAGTCGCCTGAGGCTGGAATTGAACTTGGGTCCCTGGTGCTGTGAGGCAGCAGTGCTAACCACTGAGCCACCATGCAGTCTTGATGAGCTGAATGACCTACTCCTGCTCCTACTTTCTATTGGATAGAGAGAGGAGGCTTCCTCTTGTGGGGTTGTGTAACCAGAGGCCATCAGTATAAAAGAGTCAGCCAGAGATTCATTTGAGAATTCTACAGGAACCTCAGCAGAGACTAGTGAGAAAATGTGGGTCTCCACAACACGAGAGTGGTCGATTTGGTTAGAGTGGAGGCATTGGAGGAGAAACAAGGCAAGTATAGGATGAAGTAGGGAATAAAGAACGATGGGGTGGGGGGATGAGTTGACTGGATCATGAATGCTTGCATAGGCTGGATGGATCGAATAGCCTGTTTCTGTGCTATATATCCTCTGCCATCCCACATGACACCCAGAAATGGTACATCATGCTATAATGTGGTCTGTATGATTGGCACAAGCTGGCAAGCCCCCTGCAACTCGCTGCAGAAGTACTAAGGTACTAGAGGTGATGTGGTTGAGAATGGATAGGGGCTTATTTTTGTTGATGGATTGAAGTGCTGCTGTATCAGAGAGGCATAGCTATGATAACCAGGCACTGTACATCACTTCCAGGAATAACTTCCTCAAAGAGATGAAGATCATGTCACGGCTGAAGGACCCCAACATTATCCGGCTTCTCGGAATCTGTATCCGTGACGACCCACTCTGCATGGTCACCGAGTACATGGAAAATGGGGACCTGAACCAGTTCCTATCCCAGCGGGAGCTGGAAAACCACTTCACCCTGGCAAAGAACATCCCTAGTGTCAGGTAGGTGTAAGCAACCAGGGACTGTACACTAGTACAGGCAGTGGGGGACAGATAGGGTTAATAGTAGTTGTCTTTTCCCTTGGATAGGGGATTTCAAGACAAGGGGGCACATTTTTAAGGTGAGAGAGTAGAGATTTTAAAAAAGACATGAGAGGCAAATTTTTTTACACAGAGGGTTGTTTGTGTGTGGAATAAACTTCCTGAGGAAGTGTGTATGTGGGCACAGTGACAATGTTTAAAAGACATTTGGATAAATACGTGAATAGGGAGGGGTTTGGAGGGATGTGGGCCAGGAGCAGGCAGGTGGGACTACTTTAATTTGGGATTATGTTCAGCATGGACTGGTTGGACTGAAGGGTTTGTTTCCGTGCTGTATGACTGTATGATTACAGATGCTGGAAGTCAGAAATAAAAACTCAAAATATTTGAAATGCTCTGCATTTGATTCTGTTCTTCAGAATCATCTTGGGCTTGAAACTTTAACTCTGTTTCTATCTCCACAGATGCTGCCAGATCTGACGAGTTTCTCCAGCAATTTCTCTGTGTATAATTCCTAAACAAAGATTGTTAGTCTTATCTCTCCTATCCATCACATTTGTGAACAAATGTGCATGAATGTGAGCAACATGAAACTGAATGAGGAGTCTGATTAAATGGTAAAAGATAAAAGGACAAAAGTCAGGTTTCTCACTCTGTTAAATACGATGACATTAAGAAGCAGCTAAATCAATCCTGCAGATAAAGGTGAAATCCCTGAATGTTTACAAGATTTAACAAAGGCTAAGGCTGTAGAATTGGGTAAAGAGTTAAAGATGGAAATTCCAGCAAAAGCTATGAAGGCAAGAATAATTAAAATATTACCACAGCATTTGGGATTGGTGGAATTACAGGGAGACCAATTACTCCAAGCAGTGAGTCATAAAAGTAGTTATGACAGAGATAGAGTTAAAGCAGTTTGAACAGGACAAGGACTTAAGACAGAAAAGAGAAGGAAAGAACATTGGATAACACTTGGAGGAAGCCCAAAGGGTGGCAAGGGTGCAGAATGTACTTGGCTGAACAGCAGCACCTGCTGACTGAGTTGGGCAGGTCCTAAAGGAGATAGCTGCTCGACTGAGTCTGTGACAGGTGGCGAGGGGACCAACATGAGGGAAAAACATACTTGACCTCATCTTCACCAAGCTGCAGATGCATCTGTCCATGACCATATTGGTGAGCATGACCACTGAACACTCCTTTTCCAGACAAAGTCCCACCTTCACATTGATAATAATCTCCTTCGTGTTGTGTGGTACTATCACTGTGCTAAATGACACAGACTTCAAACAGATCTAACAACTCAAAAGCAAGCATCCATGAGGCACCTTGGACCACCAGCAGCAGCAGAATTATACTCCAACACAATCTGCAACCTCATGGCCTAACATCTCCCCCACTCAATCACTACCATGAAGCCAGGAGATGAACCCTGGTTGAATGGAGAGAGTATGAGGCCATGCCAGGAACAGCACTGGGAATACCGAAAAATGAGGTGTCAGTCAGGTAAAGCCACAAAACAGGATCACTTTTATGTGCCAAACATCATAAGCAGCAAATCATAAACAGAGCTAAGCAATCTCCCAACCAACGGATCAGATCTTAGCTCTGCAGTCCTGCCATGTTCAGTCATGAATGATGGTGGATAATTAAATGGCTCACTGGAAGAGGAAGCTCCTCAAATATCCCAATCATCAATGTTGGGAGAACCCAGCATATCAGTGTAAAAAATAAGGTTTCATAGCGGTCTTCAGCCAAAAGTGCTGAGAGGATGATTCTTCCCAGCCTTTTCCACTTGTCCCCAGCATCTCAGATACCAGTCTTCAACCAATACAATTCAACATGTGATATCAGGAAATGTTGGAGGCACTGGATACTGAAAAGGCTACAGGGCCTGACAACATTCTGGCAATAGTACTGAAAACTTGTGCTCCAGAACTTGCTGCTCCCCTAGCCCTATTTATGAATATCACAAAGAATTTGAGTACGGCTCTAACCATGGACATCAGTTTATCAGAAGAATAATCCCAGAGTATGACACTAAGAGAGGCAGTACTCAATCCTTATGTGCTTGTACTAAAGCTTAGGACCATAAGAAAGAAATCAAATCAGACATTTGTCGAATTTGCAAAGGAGAAAGAAATACAATGAGAACAGTTGTTTTAGATCACTCGAGCTTAGGCTGTTCACTTTCTCTCTCTTTCCCTCCTGCAGCTACCGGTGCCTTTTGCACATGATGACCCAGGTATCCTCAGGCATGAAATATCTCTCCTCACTTAATGTCGTACACCGAGACCTTGCCACTCGTAACTGCCTGGTGGGGAACCGCTGCACTATCAAGATAGCTGATTTTGGCATGAGCCGCAATTTGTATAGTGGTGACTACTACCGGATCCAGGGCCGTGCTGTACTGCCCATCCGCTGGATGGCGTGGGAAAGTATCCTGCTGGTAAGTGCTGGAACAATAACCAGCTGCAATAGCTTTTCCATCCTGAATTTACAACACAGTGCATTCATGTGGTGCCTTTAACATTGGAAAACCTCCCAATGTACTTAACAGGAGAGTTTTCAGACAGAATTGATGGTCAGAGAGATAGCTTGCAAGGAGCAGAAAGCAGTGGAGAGGGAGCAATAGAGGCAAAAGGAGTTTTTGGGAAGGAATTCCTGAGCTTAGATATAGGCAGCTTAAGGCCCAACCGCAAGTGGTAGAATGATGGAAATTTGAGATGTGCAAGAGTCTGGAATCAATGGAGGGCAGAGAGTTTCAGAGTTGTTTGGGCTGGAGAAGGTTCCAGTGACGGGAAGGGATGAGATCGTGGAGAGATTTGATTATGACTGTTTTGAAGCTTTGATGGACTAGGAACCAGTATGGGTCAGTGAGCACAGGAGTAATGACTGAACGGGTCTTTGTAGAGGATGGGATGTGGGCAGTAGAGTTGATGTATCTAGAACATGACAGATGAGAACTGGACAGGACACCATCGGAATAGTCAAGCAGAGAGGTAAGGGAAAGCACAAGTAACGGGTTTTCAGCTGTAGCTGTCAGCTTTGTGTGCAGTGACAGGAGGAAGGGGAAGCAGTGTCAGACACTTAGCCTAAAGTGCTTGTCATTTCAGGGAAAATTCACCACAGCCAGTGATGTCTGGGCCTTTGGAGTTACAATGTGGGAGATGTTCACCTTCTGTAAGGAACAGCCATACTCTCAGCAGTCTGATGAGCAGATCATTGAGAATACAGGCGAATTCTTCCGAAATCAGGGGCGACAGGTAAGGACAGCTCAGAGCAACTTCACGTACAGGCCCTGCTTGAATCTGTTTCTCCCCAGAAAAAAATGGAACAAAAGAAATAGATTTTGTTTGAGCATTTCCAAATTCTTGAGATGTCACCACCAATGAAATATTTTTGAAATGTAATCAATAATGTAATGCAGGAAATGCAGCAGCATATTTGCACAAAGCAGGATCCCACAAACAGCAATCAGATCATTTGATTGTGATGTTGACTTGGATGAATATTAGCCATGGGATCTACTATGTCTCGTTAGCACAGTGTAACGTCTTAACTGGTAAATGGCACTACTGACAGTACAACACTCCCTCAGTACTGCACTGGTCACCATGGTCCCCCTGTCAGTTGTACCCACAGCTGATACTAATTCAGGGCATGTGGTCTCTGTGTCAGATATTGTGGGGCTGCAATTCTTGAGCCGTCAAGCATTTCTTACAATTCTGTTGCCTTTTCCTCTCTCTCTGTGTCTCTCTCTCTTTCCCCACAGATCTACCTGTCACAGCCAACTGTGTGTCCGAAACAGATCTTTGATTTAATGCTTCTCTGCTGGAGTAGAGACATCAAGGACAGGCCCAGCTTTCAGCAGATCCACCACTTCCTGCAGCAGCAGTTTGTCAACGCGGCCTAGTGGTTACAGACGGGGACGGACCTGTGTCTACTTGCTGATGTGATGGTTGCTGCTGTCGTGCCATGCTTCTGTATGCCAATGAACGACTCAGCCTCTTGGCCTTCCTGCCATTTCTGCAGTAGAATTGGCCCGTGGCGACTGTTCGTGTGATGAGCGCGTTTTTTTCTGTCTCACGCCTCTCAACTGACCAGCATTTCCTGGCCATCAAGTTGTCCGCTGACCCGTGACAGTTCCCCTTTGTGTGGGGAACCGGTGCCAGGGGCTGCAAGCAACTACACAATGAGGTGGCTTCCAAGGCTCTGAGAATGCAGGAGAGGCCAAGGTTGGGAGAGCCTGCAAGGCCTGACACTTGAATTCCCAGAGACGTGCACAAGGCCAAAGCTTGAATACACGAGACGACTTTTCTCTATCATTCCCTGTGGCAATTACGAGCACAGCTTTCTTTGTTCAGTCATTGCTTCCGCAGACTGGAGTTATGGTACGCAAAGGCAACGCTAACAACTGGGCCGAGAAGCCCAGGCAGAGGGGAGGGAGGTGACTTTGCGGTACGTCAGAATGTAGGCACCACCCTATGAACTCTGAGGAGATTACAACCAGCAGAAAATGAGAGCAACAATGTACTGTGGTAACTGTGTTTTAAGGTTACAATGGCTTGTAGGTTAAATGTGATGGACCACTGTGCAACGTACAGTGACCCCCATTTAGACCGGATTGAATGCTGCATTTGCCCTGTTAAACCACCCCCCCGGACTGAGAGTTGTAAACACCTTCCCCAGCCCACTTGCAGCAGGCAAGCTGTATCTACCCACTTACATCAGAGTAGGCAATATATTCCCCAGGATCGGGGGCTTTCTACACTGCGCCCCCCCCTCCAATTACCCCTGGACTGCGTACTGTATCCACCCCCCTACATCAGAGTAGGCAATATGTTCCCCAGGATCGGGGGCTTTCTCCACTACCCACACCACCCCCCTCCCCTCCATTACCCCTGGATTGTGCACTGTATCCACCCACTCCCACAGAAAAAGTACTGTATCCCCGATTATAGAGTGCACTACATCCCCTCTCCCCACCAGAGCTGGGTGCTATATGTGCCCTGTCCCCCAACCTGGAGCTGGGTGCTGTATCTGCACCTTCCCATCCCACCCCCATCCAGAGCTGGGTGCTGTGTCTGCACCGCACCCCCCCAACCCACAGCTGGGTGCTGTAACCCCCTAGCTGGCCAACATTTCTGCAGACACTGGATGCATGTTGTTTATCTATGTTGATGTGACATGGTCTCAGTGCTCGGTGATTATCCCTGGCTCCTTCATGTTGCCATCTCTTCTCCAGCTTGGAGCTGCACAGGAGGCTGAGGGTGACCACATGCTCATCATTTCATTGGCTTGTCGCCCAGAAAAACTTCCAGGAGTCATGGACTTTGGGGGGAGATGAAGCAAATGCCCAGAATGTGGGTCAGGTGGGAACATTAAAGGATCCGGGGGGTGGATGGGAGGTATGATCCAGGGGCATGGAGGAAGGCAGGTTTGAATCAAGGCTGGGTACCTGATCTGAGGAGATGGTGCAGTGTGCAGGTCTGGTTCATGTGGGGAATTACTGAACGTCTGTTCCTTCCCCACCACCCCTACAATCACCCTTGTCCTACCCTCCCCCATGGGTGTGAGGCTATATGGAGTGGGGAGATGGGGCAGATAGAAAGTGAGGTACTGGGGGAAGGATGGGGCTCAGCACAGAGGGTGGGAATTGGGGATCGGTGCAGAGGGGATTGGGGGTCAGGTGTCAATGCGGAGAGGGTGTGACTGATGGTGCGGAGGGGTTTAGGGTTGGGGGTCAGGTGTCAGTGCTGAAGGGGTTGGGGGTTGGGTGTCAGTGCAGAGGGTGGGTGGGGTCAGGTGCCAGTGCGGACGGTGGGGTGGGGTTCAGGTGTTAGTGCGGAGGTGGTAGGGGCTGATATAGTGTGGAGCTGGAGGAACACAGCAGGTCAGGCAGCATCAGAGAAGCTGGAAAGTCAACTTTTCGGGCCTAGACCCTTCATCAGGACAGGAGGTGGTAGGGGATTAGGTGTCAGTGTGGAAGGGATCATTGGAGATTGATATTTAGTGCATTGGGGTTCATTGGGGAGTGGAGTTCCAGGTTTTATGTGATCCTTTTGGGGGTGGGGCGGGGTAGCTGATTGGTGCTGTGCTTCCATATGCAGCTGATTGTGTCAGAGAGGCGACTCGCTAATGTGCGAGTTTATTAAGGCGAGTTCCTGGGCAGTGATAACATTATAGTAATCCATGAGGGTGAGGTCTAAGAGAAGGGACTAGAATGAAATGTTTAATGCCAGTGAGAAGTAAATTCACTTTTTCATTGAAATTAATTTTAATCCTTTTTGAGTTTTAACCATCTTTGAATTTCACTCAGCGTTGGGGCTATGTTAACTCATCTGCCAGACTGAGTGTGGAGATGATTTAATCCCTCCCAGTCCTCAGTAAAACACCGTGTGAACATGATCCCATCGCATCTTTTGTGAAGGAGCTAGTCACTCTTGGCTCAAACCATGGAGTTTGAAATGTGAATTGCAAATTTGTACAGTAATATATCAACATTGTTGGGACAGTTCCTACAGAATTCTCACTGCCTCTGATCTCTGAAGCGAATCAAATAAAAATTAATTTTCAACACATAAATGGCAGCAGTGGCCTTGTTCCTCATTCAGGAAGACGTGCCGCGGCTATCTGAAATCTACGCCTGCAAACTCTCCAGGTTCACCAAAGATTAAAAATCCATCTCCAGGAAGGGGCTGCCAACATCCCAAGAGGTGCCGATGCCAGTGTTGGACTGGGGTGGACAAAGTCAGAATCTCTCAACACCTGGTTACAGGCCAACAGGTTTATTTAAAATCACAAGCTTTCGTAGCACTGCTCCTTCATCACAGAATTTATAGGTGAAGAGATAATGGCAAGGTAATTCCAGGTAATTAAGCCTGTCAACAGATAAGTACAAATAGTGTGAGTGGAGGGTCGACAGGCTGAATAACAAGTGAAGGGATGACCTACAAACCGATTAATTAAGGCAGAGAAATAATTACAAAAAAATCAGAAATAAGATGGTGCTAGAGACAAACCAAATGGCTGGAATAATATGAAAAGGTATCAGAGTCACATGACAAGGGTCTAATCAAAGTAACAAGTAGTCCAAAACTGTAAAAACTTATTGAGATGTGAATGTGCCAGTGTTGGACTGGCGTGGACAAGGTCAGAAATCACACGACACCAGGTTATTGTCCAACAGGTTTATCTGAAAACACAAGCTTTCAGAATCTTACTTCTACACTACACCACATTAACACCTGAAGAAGGAGTAAGACTCCAAAAATTAATTTAAGGTAGGGAGATAATCACAAGTGAACAAGGTAATGGTATCAAAACAGAACAGTAAGGGAGATTTTAGAAACCCAGAACAGTATGGTGGGATTACATGTAGCGCAACATCATGGTTGAGGCCGTCTTCATTGGTACAGAACTTGACTATCAGTTTGTGCTCAGCGATACTATATTATTGTCTATCTCGAAGGCTGCCTTGGAGGATGTTTACCCAAAGATCAGAGGCTGAATGTCCTTGACCGCTGAAGTGTTCCCCGACTGAACATAAGAACTAGGAGCAGGAGTAGGCCGTCTGGCCCTTCGAGCCTGCTCCGCCATTCAATAAGATCATGGCTGATCCTTTCGTGGACTCAGATCCACTTACCCGCGTTCTCACCGTATCCCTTAATTCCTTTATTGTTCAAAAAAAATCTACCTTTTTTTTTAAAAGCGTTTACTGAAGTAGCGTCAACTACTTCACTGGGCAAGGAATTCCATAGATTAACAACCCTCTGGGTGAAGAAATTCCTTCTCAGTTCAGTCCTAAATCTGCTCCCTCTAATCTTGAGGCTATGCCCTCTTGTCCTAGCTTCACCTGCCAGTGGAAACATCCTCTCTACTTCTCTCTTATCTATTCCCTTCATAATTTTATATGTTTCTATAAGATCCCCCCTCAATCTTCTGAATTCCAATGAATATAATCCCAATCTACTCAGTCTCTCCTCATAAGACAACCCCCTCAACTCTGGAATCGACCTAGTGAACCTCCTTTGCACCCCCTCCAGTGCCAGTACATCCTGGGAGGGAACATACCTATTTGGCGATTTTGTGTGGTGTCTGTTCGTCCGTTGTCGTAGCGTCTGCCTGGTCTGACCAATATACCATGCCTCAGGGCATCCTCGCCTGCAGCGTATGAGGTAGACAACATTGGCCGAGTCACGTCAGTATGTACTACTGAAGGGTGGTGTTCCCACGTGTGATGGTGGTATCCATGTTGATGATCTGACATGTCCTGCAGAGGTTGCCGTGACAGGGTTGTGTGGTGTTGTGGTTGCTGTTCTCCTGAAGGCTGGGCACTTTGCTGTGAATGATGATTTGTTTAAGGTTAGGTGGCCGTTTGAAGGTGAGAAGTGGAGGCGTAGGGATGGTCTTGGTGAGATGTTCATTGTCATCAATGACATGCTGAAGGCTGTGAAGAACATGGCATAGTTTCTCTGCTCTGGGGGAAGTACTGGATGATGAAGGGTACTCTATTGATCGTGTCCCGCGTCTGTTCTCTGAGGAGGTCATTGTGATTTTTTTGCTGTGGCACATTGGAACTGGCAATCGAGGAGTTAAGCGTCATATCCTGTTCTTATGAGGGCGACTTTCAGCATCTTTATGTGTCTGTAGGAGGCGTTCCTCCTCCCTGAGCAGATCCTGTGTATAAGTAGGGCATGTGTGTGGGGGATATCTTCTTTAATGTGTTTAGGGTGGAAGGTAGAGAAGTGCAGCTTCGTGAGGTTATCCGTGGGCTTGCAGTAGAGTGAAGTACTGAGGTGTCCGTCTTTGACAGAGATGCATGTGTGCAAGAATTAGACTGATTCTGAAGAGTAGTCCATAGTAAGTCTGATGGTGGGATGAAACTTGTTGATATCATTATGTAATCACTTCAGTGAATATCCAGGAACATCCCAGGAGGGAAATCATAAATAGCAATTCAAAGCCTTCTTTAAAATATCGTTTCAACACTCGTTATTGATCACGAGGGAATCAATTGAGAGTCAAGTATCTTCCAATTGTCAGCTCAGTTTGAATGCTGTAGCAAGCATCAAGCACAGCTGACCAAGGGCTAGAGAGTGTGGGAGTAGGGTGCTTAGAGACAGAGGTCAGGTACAGCCATTTCAAAGAATATATCCAATCCAATATGGTAACATTACTGAGGCTATGTCTAGCTGTAGTACTGAGCGCAGGCATCACTGCTCAGCTTGAGGCTAGAGATCCCATCTGTATAGCACATGCTGCACTAATCAGTGATCCTCGTCTCTGGCCAGAAATGATCCTGAGATGGAGTGAGAGAGAAGTGGATCGGAGGCATAGATAATGAGCTTGCTGGGCGACAGGAGCAGGCCTGTGGTGTATGAGGGGGCCTGATTCCTTGTGCCCTCCAATCAGCACAAGTGGACATTGACTCACCAATCTTGCAGCAATGGAGGTCATTCAGCCCATTGTGCCCTTACTAGCCCTTTGGTAGAATTATGACTTAATCCCATTGCTCTTCACAAGGCTAGCACAACTTTTGTTTATGTGTATTTCTCCAGTTCCTTTGAAAAGAAGATATACATGGGCCTCATTTATTATTGCTTTAACTCCTCCTCCCTGGTCAGCCTCATTTCCTTACGTGCTGAGGAGATAATTGTGCTATGACCCTGCCACTGCTATTTTTTAAAGTTTTCAGTTGTGCGTAAGGCACATTTGCAGATGAAGGGGCTGTAGTCCTGTATCAAGGTGAGCTTTGACCCTCCAAAGTTTGCTAAGATGCAGTGTTTCCACAAATGTGTGTACACTGTTACCTTAACTTGCCTGGAGCAGTCGGAAGTTTGGCTGCAAGGTAACTATTGGGGGATTTTGGAGGTTAGTGTGAGGAAGGTGAAGAGCTGTTTGCATCCATGATACAGGGAAGCAGTTTAGTTTGCAGTATTGCACTGTGAATGCTGCTCCTTCTATTTTCCGTGCTGTTCCCTGGCCATTTGCAGTCTGAATGACAACATGAAATTATGATAACACAGTGTGGAGCTGGAGGAACACAGCCGGCCAGGCAGCATCAGAGGAGCAGGAAAGCTGATGCTTCGGGTCTGGACCCTCCTTCAGAAATGGGGGAGGGGGGAAGGGGGGAGGGGGGCTCTGAAATAAATAGAGGAGGGGTGGAGCTGGGGAAGGTAGGTGGGATGGTGATAGTTAAGTGCAGGTAGGAGCGGATAGGTGGGAGAGAAGACGGACAGGTCAAGGAGACGGGGATGAGAGGGAGAGTTGGTCTTGGGATGAGGTCGGGTGTGGGGAGATTTTGAAGCTAGCAAAGTCTACATTGAGACCATTGGGTTGTAGGCATTGGCAGTTCTTACTATCTCAACATGGAATCGTGGTTGCCTGTAAGGGCGTCAGTAACCTCTTATCGACCTCTGCCAGTGTCTCTCTGCTCCCCTGATTCTCCAGCTCCCAATTCTGGCACGCTGCTCCTTCATCACTTTGTCACCCCGACCGCTCTCTGCCACCTCCAGCTCACCCTACAGTTCATCAATGCTGCACCTTTCAAACCAACTCTCTCCCATCTGTGACTCATCATTAGGCAGAAGATGTTCACCGATGAGCATGTTTTAAACAATCGCTGAACAAGCGGTAAGCCCTTCAATAAACTTTGAACACCTTCTGCTTCAAATTTATAAACCTGAAATGATCTCAGTGACATTGGAGAGAAATCTCCACTCCATCTCAGAAATTGTGTCATGAGATCTCCTCCATCCCTGCAAAAGACCATCTGATGCTGTGTAAACAACAGTATTCCTGTCATTGAGGTTGACGCAAGCATGTAGTAACTCCTGATTCCTCCTGTAAAAAATAATTTACAGACCCACATTCTGGCATCACTTTGCCTCCAACAACCATTTTTTGGAGAGTAAACTGAGCACGTTCTGACTCGTGTGCGAATGGGTTTATATGGAGAAAGACTTGCCTTTTGAGAGGGACCTTTGTAACCTCAGGGCATTTCCAAAGTGGTTAGCAGCCAGTGACATACTGTAGGCTGGACGGTTGGTCTGTGACACAAAGTGCCACCAACAGAGAGAATTCAATTCCTGCATTGACTGAGATTACCATGAAGAAATCCTCAGCCTCTCCCCTTGCCTGAGGTGTGCTGACCCTCAGGTTAAAATCCCACCAGCCATCTGTCTCTCCAGTGAGACAGCAGCCCTATGGTCCACTGGGATTATGGCAACTTTACCTCACATTTAATATATTTCTGAAATGGTATCCCTTGACTTATTTAAAGGATGTACATGACCAGAAGATGGAGGTGCAGAATTAGGCCATTTGGCTCATCGAATCTACTCCACCATTCAATCATGGCTGATATGTTTCTCAATCCCATTTCCTTGTCTTCTCCCCTTAATAATCAAGAATCTATCTCTACAAGAAAAGTAACCTGACTCACTCATAGTCACATCCTCCTGTCCCTGACCACTGATCGAATTTAAGGGAGTTAATCTAAGGGGTGTGACTGCCTCCTGAAACACAGCATCCGAGTAACTCTCCCCCTCCCTGATGTGTCACAGTGTTTGAAGCTCAGACTC